TAAAGCTTTTGATAGGGTTTGGCATGCTGGTCTTCTTCATAAATTTCTTACGGTGTATCAGGTAATATCTTCAAGACTATTGAATCCTTCCTTACCAATCTTTGTATACAAATTGTCCTCATGGACAACACTCTTCTTCATTTCCTGTAAAATTAAGTGTTCCTCAAGGTTCTATCATCAATTCTATACTCTTTTTAATTTACATTAACGATCTCCCAGAAATTCTCACATCTAAGGTGGCATTGTTTGCTGATGATACTACCATTTATTCCTGTCTTGATAAGTAACCAACAATCTCTGATTGCTTGGAGGGGACCTTTGAGTTTGAAACGGATCTCACTTCTGCTACAACATGGGCTCTCAGTGGCTGATAAACTGAGATAAAACTCAACTTTTTTTAGATAATTACTATCGCAATAATCTAGATTTTTCTATATTTATGAACGGTAATGTACTTGATGAATCATCTAGAGAAGTCATCCTTTCGTTTTCTACCCCCTTCCTCCTGCGCATTTTGATATACGCTTTTTTGAGTACTCTCCACCTGCCTATAAAAACCTAGCCGTTTAACCTTCACTACATTTTATATTTTTTAATATAGTGTCTTCTAACTTTTATAAATGATCTCCTGCCCCCCATTTCATAGACACCATTTGCAGACCTAGTCTCCTGCATCCGAGCGTACTTACTTTATGGACGACCCCAAACATTTCATCTCTTTATCGTGCTTGCCACTTTCTTACTCCGGATTCTATTCTTTATCTCTATAAATCTCCAATCCGTCCTTGTATGGAATACTGTTATCATATCTTGAGAGGTTCTTCGAATGACGCCTTTTCTCATTTAGACAAGGTGCAAAAACGCATTCTAAACATTGTACGACCTGCTCTTGCAGCCAACCTCCAACCATTATCACATTGTTGTAAAGTTGCTTCTCCTTCTCTTTTCTATAAATACTATAATGGGCACTGCTCTAAAGAGTTAGCGTCTTGTGTACCATCTACTAAAATCCATTCTCGTGTTACTCGTCATTCAATTAAATCTTTTTATTATGACTGTTCCTAAATGCCCCGAAAATTCTTATTCGTCTAGTTTTTTTCCTCGGACATTAGTCTTTTGAAATTCGCTTCTTTCAAAAAAAAAAAAAGCTTTTTATAGATTGTAATTACTATTTATATTTTTAATACATGCTGTTTGATTTTCAAGATTGTTTGCGAAAGTTTTTGTTAAAGCTTTGCAATCAGCGTTTATCATAGATATTGAAATCCAGTTACTAGCTCCATTTTTGTTTCCTTTTTTATAAATAGACGTTATTAACGTCTCTTTTTGAGAACAAGACGTGTCTCCCGTGATGAATGCATTATTTAAAGCGTCTATAAAATCTTTACTTTTTAAATTAAATAACATTTTACAACCTATTGTTAAGAGCCATTGTCAGGCAAAGTCTGGAAGTGATGTCTTCAAATTGTCTTCATTTTCAGATATTTTGTAAAAAACAATGAAAATAGACCACTGGTAATTTTTTTTCAAAAATTGCTATTCGTTTCGGAGATATTGGGTCCCAAAATTTGGCCCATTTTGTGAAAATATTTGCGCAAGGAGTGCAATTGCTACTTTGTGGGGCAATTTTGGCAACATGAATATGACAGACACATTTCTTTTTAATTTTTCTGCTAAACTTGTAAAAAGTTAAAGTACAGTAAAAGTTAAAATTCAACATGGTTACATTTTTAGTTGTCTCCGAAACCACTCATTTTGAAATTTTACCCTACCTTTGAGCTCTAATATCTCTTAAGGTCATTACTTGTATGTAGCTTTCTTAAGTGTTTTTGAATGGCATTACGGCATAAATTGATTAAATAAAACAAAATTTATGTGCATGCAAGGACCTGGGAAGGAGTAAACTAAAATCCAAAAATCACTTTTTGCGTTCAACGCGTCTTGGTAAATTACCCATAACAACCGTGGCCTTAGGTCTGCCATAAACAGTATAAGTTATTTAATTTCTTTAAACATGCATCTTCCAATACCTGAAAAAAAAATCCATGTGCTCGGATGATTAAAAGCCTACAGAAGTCCTAGAAGTAGCCTTATTTCGCCAAATTTTTATCAAAAAAATATCCTAGCAACGGTATAGATATGCTTAGCAACAGCTACTTTACAGCTTTAATAATTAGTATTGTAATTAAAAATTTTGATATAATACATTTTTATAACGGAACTGTACAAGAACAGTTGACAAAAATTACATTGTAAGCATTTTTAATGTAACAAAGTACTTATTAAAAAGTTAAAGTGATGCAATGACAACAGACTTGTTAAATGTTAATTTGCACTCCTTAATGTTTCTTCTTATGTAACGCAGTAAAAACTTCTAAATGTCATGATTGATATCTTATTTTGTCAAATTTTAATTCGATTTCTACTTTTAAAATACTCATTTTTTAAGGGGGAAAACCTCTCAGAAAAAAAATTTTTTTTCAATTTTTTTTTTCCAGATATTTCAAAAGTAAATTTATTAAGAAATCAAATGGTAAAAACTTTATTTAAAAATCGCTATTTTTTATATCAATAAATGACACTTTTGTACAACCACCAGAGTTCAAAATTACCTAGCAACGCCCCTAGTTACAGAAAAACTGGGAATAAAACACATCTAGTATAGCTTTTTATCCGGTTTTTTTTTGCAGTTTAGTTTGAAATGCTTCCCATTATCTTTAAAGCCATACTTTAAAACCACATATTTGACTGATAGTGCTAAAATTAGTCATCTTTTCAAGCTTCTACACAATCAACTCAAGCTTTCTATATAATTAAAAAAAATGGACAAGTCTAAAACTGAATATAAAAGTGATAGAGTAAAATTTTCTACAAAACGTCTTCGAAAACGTAAATGTACATTTTCTGGTTTAAGAAAGCAAGAAAAATGTGTAAATATTGGTGTAAATAATGTTAATAGTAATAATGAAAATATGGTAGACTCTGTAAATATTGAAAGTGAAAGTGAATTTAAAAGTGCATCAAAAAAAAAAGTAAAGCAAGTAATGGTTCCAAGTGGAAACTCAAAAGGTGTCAGTGGCTACAGGTTTATTGATTTAGAAATTCTTGCTTCCATTTTTGATAAACTTGGGTGTCCAGAATGTTTGCGACCATCACAGTTGTCGTTAAGCGAAAATAAAAAGTCTTGCAAAGGATATGCATCAAATTTATCATTAAATTGTGTTTGTGGTTTCAAGTTAGACTTTGACACATCAAAAAATGTAGCAGGGTTTGATATTAACAAAAGATTAGTGTATGCCATGAGAACACTTGGTCAAGGCCAAGCTGGTCTACATCGGTTTGCCACTCTTATGAATATCCCAAAAGGATTATGCAATAAAAGCTATAATGTTATTGTTCAAAAATTGGCAACTGCAGCACAAACTGTTGCTGTTGAAACTATGAATGAAGCTGTACAAGAATTCAGAGAAGGCAAATCTCTTAATGAGATCTTAGATATTGGAGTTTCTGTTGGTGGAACATGGCAAAAAAGAAGATTTAATTCACACAATGGGGTGACGGCAGCATTATCAATTAAAAATGGGAAGGTTTTAGATGTTGAAGCATTATCTAGAAAGTGTAAAATATGTGACAAAAATCAAGATGTTGGTAATTCAAAGCAGCAGCTAACAGCAAAAAAATCACATATTTGCAATAAAAATTATGAAGGATCAGCCGGTGGAATGGAAACAGTTGGGGCAATAAAGATATTTAATTGCTCTTTGCAAAAATTTAATTTACGATACACAGAATACTTGGGTGATGGTGATAGCAAAAGCTACACTTCTGTCAAAAACACATACAAGGGTATTGAAGTAATTAAACTAGATTGTATTGGACATTTTCAAAAGCGCATTGGATCTCGTTGTAGACAATTAAAAAAGCAAGTCAAGGGTTTAAATGGTAAAGGCGGTTTAACAAACGCTACAATTGATCGGTTGCAAAATTATTTTGGTATTTGCATTAGGCAATATTGTGGCAACCTTGAAGGTATGAGATCTTCAGCTTTGGCTAGCTTATTTCATGTAGCATCTTCAAGCAAAAATAATTGGCATTACCCGCATTGTCCCACAGGAAAAGATAGTTGGTGTAAATACAATCGAGATAAAGCTAATGGAACCAAAGAGTATAAACCCGGACCAGGTCTTCCTATTGAAATAGTACACAAGTTAAAGCCCATTTATGTAGAACTAACATCAGATGCTTATTTAAATCGTTTGCTTCATGGAAGAACACAGAATCAAAATGAAAGTTTTAATGCAATGATATGGTCTAGAATACCTAAGTCAAAGTATGTTTCGCTTACGCAATTGAAGTTTGGACTCTATGATGCTATTGGTGCCTTTAATATAGGATTAAAGTCTAGTATACTTATATTTGAAAGACTTAATATGATACCAGGGCAACATACCATTTCTGGATGCAATTACCTGAATCAGAAAAGAGTTATGATGTCAGAGTATAAAAATCAAGACACCATCAAAAAAAAAAGGAAGATTTTAAGAAGCCGCAAGCTTAAAAAATTTGACAAAGTTGAACAGAAAGAAGGGAAATTGTATGGGGCTGGTGTTCATGATTAAAAAATACAATCAGTATGCTCTTTTTATATTATATTTTTTGTATCTTTGTTATTATATAATATTTTTCATCACAATTTCAACTTATTTGGCATTTTTCTCAGAACGCGTGTTTTTAATCTCCCGGCAGAAGTATCTTCAGAACCGCTTGACCGATTTTAATGAAATTTTCAGGGAGTATTCCTCTCATAAAGATGTATGCAATGAGCAGACAACTTTTTAAAAATGTTTTTTAAACTAAAGAAATTAAAAAAAATATCTATCATTTTTGTGCTTAAAATTTTTGCCAAAATTAAACAGGCCTACTACCTGACAGAAAAGTTATTTTCAAAAACTGTCTGCTTATTGCATAGATCTATCTTTTAACTATAAGTTAGAAAAAAATCAGCTCAAAGTATCATTCTTGAAAACTTGAGGAATCAGTGCTTCTGATTGACCAGTTGCAATTGCTTCAGCAAATATCTTCTCAAACTGCGTTTTAAACTTTTCAAATTTCTTTTTAACGTTCTACTAAGCATCAAAGAAAACAAATCTATAAATATTATTCTCATAAATCAAGGTTTATTTAAAAATGATTGTAACTTAAAATGTTATCCAAAGCAAGAATAAAATCTTTAAAATTATTTTTAAAAACAGATTTTTAAAAAATTTCTTAAACTATGTTCTACAAAATGGTTCATTTAGCAAACCATTATTTCTTAATGAGTACTTATTATAAAATTTCAATGTAAAATTTAGCTGTCGAACGCTATTTCGAAACGAATACAATACATCATACAAAAAGATATTTAAAAAATGAGTATTTTAAAAGTAGAAATCGAATTAAAATTTGACAAAATAAGATATCAATCATGACATTTAGAAGTTTTTACTGCGTTACATAAGAAGAAACATTAAGGAGTGCAAATTAACATTTAACAAGTCTGTTGTCATTGCATCACTTTAACTTTTTAATAAGTACTTTGTTACATTAAAAATGCTTACAATGTAATTTTTGTCAACTGTTCTTGTACAGTTCCGTTATAAAAATGTATTATATCAAAATTTTTAATTACAATACTAATTATTAAAGCTGTAAAGTAGCTGTTGCTAAGCATATCTATACCGTTGCTAGGATATTTTTTTGATAAAAATTTGGCGAAATAAGGCTACTTCTAGGACTTCTGTAGGCTTTTAATCATCCGAGCACATGGATTTTTTTTTCAGGTATTGGAAGATGCATGTTTAAAGAAATTAAATAACTTATACTGTTTATGGCAGACCTAAGGCCACGGTTGTTATGGGTAATTTACCAAGACGCGTTGAACGCAAAAAGTGATTTTTGGCAGGTTACTCCTTCCCAGGTCCTTGCATGCACATAAATTTTGTTTCATTTAATCAATGTATGCCTTAGTATTTTTCAAAAACACTTAAGGAAACTACATACAAGTAATGGCCTTAAGAGATATTAGAGCTCAAAGGTAGGGTAAAATTTCAAATTTAGTGGTTTCAGACCATGATTTCTAGACAACTAAAAATGTAACCATGTTGAATTTTACCTTAAACTGTAGAAATTTACCAAGTTTAGCAGAAAAATTAAAAAGAAATGTGTCTGTCATATTTATGTTGCCAAATTGCCAAAGTGAGCAGCCGTGGCGCAGTGGTTAGAGTTCTGGCTCAGAACCCAGAAGTCCGGGGTTTGACGCCAGCTCTAGCCTAACAAGCGACATTGGTACGGAAGGAGGCGTGAACTTTTATTGTCTAACGCATAAGTTAAAAAAGTAACTGTACAGGAAAACAATTTATTAATTAAAATAACGTCAGAAATAAGAAAAACTCAAATACAAAGCAATAAACCACCTCAATACGAACTGTCTCAAATACAAAACAATAAACCACCCGGATCTGACGGTTTAAGAGCCATTGTCTGAGAAATATAAGCAAAATAAGCAAATTCTGGAAGTGATGTCTTCAAATTGTCTTCATTTTTAGATATTTTGTAAAAAACAATGAAAATAGACCACTGGTAAATTTTTTTCAAAAATTGCTATTCGTTTCAGAGATATTGGGTCCCGAAATTCGGCCCATTTTGTAAAAATATTTGCGCAAGGAGTGCAATTGCTACTTTTTTTTTTTGTATGTATATACTATATATAGTTTGTATGTATTTACTATTTTTACTAGTTTGTATGTATTTACTATTTTTACTAGTTTGTATGTATTTACTATTTTTACTAGTTTGTATGTATTTACTATTTTTGTATGTATTTACTATATATAGTTTGTCATAAAAATCTCTTGAGGTTTATTTTTTTATTTTACCGTTTTTATTGCTGATTTCAGAGACATTCTTTTGAGAGTTTTGCTTTTTCCAGGTCAGAAAAATTTCGATATTAAAGAATGACAAATTTTAAAAAAAATATTTTCAAAAATTGAAAACAAGTGAACTTTTATTTTGCAAAACTATTTACAAACTTTTTTTTGGCAAAACTATTTACAAATTTTTTTTTGGCAAAACTATTTAAAAACTTTTTTTGGGCAAAACTATTTAAAAATTTTTTTTTGGCAAAACTATTTACAAATTTACTTAAGATCTAATAAATATATATAAATACAATCTGACTTTTTTTTTTTTTTTATTTTATTTATTTTTTTTTCATTTTTTTTTTGTTCTTTTATCTTTATAATGTTGTGATTCTACATGATTGGTACAAAGTTATAATGTTTTTAAAATATATAATACTAAAAATATATCACAATTTTATAGAATACAAAAAATATGATTGTAGGGTATCATTAATATTAAAAAAACGCGGGAAACTTGCAGAAGACCAGATGGTCTTGTCATCAAGAAACCGCTTGTACTTGTAATATTTTTTGTATTTTCGTTTTACAATGTATCAAGTTTCACAAAATACTTCATTTTATATTAGGTTCACATATAATAAAATGTAGAAATAAAAAATTGGTAAATACTGTTTGTAGTACACATAATACACATAAATATATTATTAAGCATAAATATAATTATTATTGACTTATATTGATTTTTTATATTAATATATATTATTGAAGTTTTTTGGATTTTGTTTTCAATTATAATTTTGGTTTTACTTTCAGTTTTAGTTTAGTGAAAGTTTAAATAATTGCTGATATTTAAAACAAACTTTTTTAGTAAGATTTTCAAACAATTTATGTTATCTAATTTTGTAATAATGGCATTTTTGGATATCAGTTTATTATAAAGATAGGGCCCGCGAAACGAAATTGTGAAACGCGACAGTTTTGTTTTTCTGAATGGTTTCTCTAGTGTCATATCTATTTTTATTGCTTTTAAAAAATTCATTTAAGAAATGTGGTGGGACAAGCCCGAGTTTAAATTTTAGCATGAAGAGTAAGTTTTGGTAAATGTTAATTCTATAGACGTTTAGTGCATTTAGGAGTTTAAACAAAGGTTCAGCATGAGTGAGTTTATCTTTTTTATAGACAATTCTAATGGCATGTTTTTGATGTTGATAAAGTGATTTTAAATTAGATTTATGGGTACTGGCCCATGCTATATTACCATATGTATAATAGGTATGTATAAATGAAAAATAAAGATGTTTTAGATTTTCTTGGGATAACATTGGCCTAGCTTTGTATAGTACGCCAATGTAATTGGTTATTTTAGTATTTAAATAGTCAATATGGGCTTTCCATGAAATATTTTGATCAATAAGTAAACCTAGGAATTTAGTTGTTGTGGTTCTTTCGATATTTTTGTTTTTTATTCTTAGCAATGGCAATATATTTGGTAGTTTTTTTCTTTTTTGATTTGGATGGAATAAGATGTAATTAGTTTTTTCTGTGTTTAAAGATAGTTTATTAGATTTTAGCCAATTATTAAGTTTTTCGAGTTCAATATTCATTGTTTCAAAAAGTTCTGTAATTGACGGGGAAGAATAAAATAAATTAGTGTCATCTGCAAACATTATGACATCAAGTTTGTTTGAGGCTTTCAGAAGATCATTAATGTATATTAAAAACAGTAAGGGAGCTAGAATGGAACCTTGGGGAACGCCACATTTGATCTTTAGCATTTTTGAACAGATATTTTCATCAGTATTTAAACATTGTTGTCTGTTTAGCAAAATGTTTTTAAACCAGAGTAATGCAACATTTTTTACGCCATATTTTTCCATTTTTTTGAGCAGGATTTCATGATCAACAGTATCGAATGCTTTTGATAGATCTATAAAGATTCCTAGAACAAATTCATTATTATCAAATGAGTAGTTGATGCTATTTACAAGATCTATGATTGCATGTTCAGTTGCATGTTGTTTTTGAAATCCAAACTGTTTTTTATTTAAGATGTTATTGTTTGTTAAATATATGTACAGTTTATTATAAATTATTCGTTCGAGAAGTTTTGAGAATACAGGAAGGATTGAGATTGGTCTATAGTTGTTTAGTAAATATGGTTCTCCAGTTTTATATATAGGTACAATTTTTGCAATTTTTAATTTCTCTGGAACGGTTCCTGTTATAATTGAAGATTTAAATATTTCGAAGAGGGGTTTTTTTATTATTGGAAAGATGTTTATTACTACATTGCTACAAATTTCATCAATTCCTGGTGCTTTGTTGATTTTTAAAGAGTTTTTTGCATTTTCAAGTTCTTCATAGCTTAGTCCATTGAAAATTAGTTCGCTATTTAGATCTGTAAGGTAGTTTTCAAAGGAGTCATTTGTAGTTAACATTTCAGACGCCATGTTTGGGCCTATGTTTGCAAAGAAATTGTTGAAGTGTTCGGCAATTGAGTTCTTATCATCGTGTTCGGTTTCATTTATAATGATTCTATCTGGTAAACTATTTGTTTTTTTGTTTTTTTTCCCGATTATTTCTTTCATAATGTTCCATGTTTTTTTCATGTCTCCATTTGTTTTTTTAAGTAATTTAGAGTAGTAAACTTTTTTAGAATGTTTTTTGATTTTTTCGAAAAGATTTTTGTATTGTTTATAAGTAGATAGGTTAATCTCATTTCTGTTTTTCAAATATTTAACGTATAGTTTTTGTTTTGTTTTTGAAGATTTTTTAATACCGCTGGTGATCCATGGACAGCTCAAATATTTTACTTTGATTTCTTTTTCTTTGATTGGAAAATGATTATTGTAGTGCTTTAGAAAAATATCTGTAAAAGTATTATATGCAGAGTTTGTGTTCCCAAGGTTACATTCTTGATACACTTTAACCCAATCTACTGCCGATAGTGTGTCTTTAAAATTTTGAATTGAAAATTTATTTATTTTTCTTTTATAAGTTATTTTTTTCAAATTATTATTTACTCTTGTATCATTTTTTATTGTAAAGTAAATTGGAAAATGATCTGTTATATCAATTTTTACTATTCCTGCTTTTAAGGAGGTATCTAGAAATGAGTTTGTTAGTATGTTATCTATGGCAGAAATAGAATTTAAGGTTACCCGTGTCGGTTTATTAATAATTGGTAAAATACAATGTTGAAACATGTTATCAAAAAATAATTTAGTAATCGGAAACTCATTGTATTTTAAACAATCTATGTTGAGGTCCCCAATACAGAATAACTTTTTTTGTTCTTTATTGATTTTGAGAAAAATTTCTTCTAGATATTTAGAAAAAGTTTTAACATTACCTTCAGGTGGTCTATAACAGGTAGAAACAATAATATTTTTAAACTTGGTGTTTATGATTTCTATTGTAAAGACCTCACTATCGGCATTAGAAATGGAGTGGTCTTTTCTTACTTTTATTGCTTGATCATTCCGAACATAAGTTGCAATCCCTCCTCCTTTTTTGCATGTTTTTTTTTCAGAAGATATTAATTTATAATTGGGAATTTGAAAGTTAGTGTTATTTTGGATTGATTCGTCAGAACACCAAGTTTCTGTTAGACAAATCATACTAAATAAGTAATTACAATCAATTAGGAAGTGCTTAAGTTTGTCAAAATTTTTATTTATGCTTCTTATATTTATGTGAATTACTGTAAAATTATTTTTAATAGTTTCAAGTTCAGTTTTAAAAGTTTCAGTTTTAACATATCGAGAATCAAAATTATTCATTTGAAAAATATGCGTATCAGCGTCAACGAGTATATTATTATTAGCAGTTATTATTATTATTATTAGCAGTTTCGAAATTATATTATATTATATATTATTAGCTATATTATATTATTAATTATATTAGCTATATTATATTATTAATTATATTATATATTATTAGCAGTTTCGAAAACATTAAAGCGCATTGATTCAAAATCTATTGTTTTGTTGTTCATTGTTTTAAAATTTAAAATTGAAAACGCGCTTAACTTAGTTTAAAAAAGTGTAGCGCTATTTTTTAAAATCTCGTGTAAATATTTTATCATATTTTAAAATGGCGTATTTACCTTCGCTTCTTAGTTTTTTTACTTCTTCCCATAACTTTCTTCGATGATATATTGTTTCTTGAGCGAAATCTTCATTTATGTATAGTCCAGTTCCTTTAAGTTGTTTTACTGTTTTGAGAATTTTGTTTTTGTCTTGGTAGTTCAAGAGTTTTAAGACTAATGTTCTTGGTTTGTTTTCTTTAAATTGTCCGATTCGAGGAGCTCGTTCGACCACCACTTCACTAGGTATTTTCAATAGTGTTTTGAAAATGTCTTTAACAGCTTTTTCACAATCTTCCCAACTTTCGCCTGGTGTTTCTTGTAGTCCATCAATTCTTAAGTTGTTCCTTCTTGATCTATTTTCTAGATCTATAGATTTTTTATATAATGAATTGATTTCTTTGTCATAGTATTTTTTTATTTGTGATATTTTTTCCGAGATATCATTTTCTTGAAAATTTAGGCTGTCTTTAATGTCGCATAAGTCTTTTTCTATATTTGATATTTTACATTTGTTGTTATTAATGTCTTTCTCTAGCATGTCCAATCTATCTGTAATAATTTTGAGATTTGCACTGATAATTGAGGTAAATGATTTTTCCTGGTCTTTTAATAATCTTTCCGTTTTTTTTAGGATACTTTTTTTGTGCTCCTCAAGTTTACTTGAGATTATTTTTTCAATGTTTTTCATTGTGATGTCCATTTTTTTATTTTTTTATAAATGCCTAATCTACGCTACAAAAACACGTCTGTTCACTTCACGTTATAAAAAATAGTTTTTGACTGGGGCAAGAAGAAGACAAAATGTATTATATCAAGCTCCTTTGTGAAATAGAGAAAAGTAAAATTTTACTAGTTATAATTATATACAAAAGAGTAATGCTAAAAAGTTTAAATAGAAATTATAAAAATTAAAAATTAAAGAGCTTGAAAAAAAAGTTATAAAGTTTGCAAGAAAAAAAAAATCTTTTAAATAAAAAAATTAAAAAAATTACAAAAGGTATTTATACGTACCGTAATATAACTTAAATATAAAAATAACGTATTGTATAACGTAAATATAAAAATTTACAAATCGGTATATTTTTTTTTTTTTTTTTTTTTTTTTTTTTTTTTTTAAATTTTGCTTACATTAAAATGTCAAAGTACAATTATATATGCCATATATATCGTGTTACAATTAAATTCGTGTTACAACATTTATCAACTAAATTAAAATAAGAAAAAACACGAACATACATATATAAATTTAGGACATACATATATAAACTTAGTTTACGGACATACATATATAAACTTAGTTTACGGACATACATATATAAACTTAGTTTCTCCGCGCAGCGGCCTTGCTTGTCAAGGTTCGTGTTTCGGAGTTAAAGAGTTGAGAGAGGGTTGTACCACGAAATACAACAAAAAAATAAAAAACACAAAAAAATGAGTAGCCTCCTCGACTGTAGTGGCCCCCTCGGGCCTTGGGGAGGTGAATAATGTAAAAAAAAAAAAAAAAAAAAAAAAAAATATAAGCATATATACACATATATAGTTAGTTTATTTTGTCGTTTTACACATTTTACAATGTTATCTTTAAATTCGAATAAATATATATGTAATTACAAGCTGACAGGGGCAAGTAGAAGACATAAAGTCTTATCATCAAGCCCTTTTGTGAAATAGAGAAATATAAAATTTCTAAAATTCCAATAATATAAAAAAGAGTTAAATTAAAAATTTTGAAAAAATAAACAAACATTCAAACAAAATTAAAATAAAAATAAAAAAATTTAAAGAGTTTGAAATAAAGTAAAAAGATTGAAAAAAATTAAAAAGTTTAAAATAAATTAAAAATTAAAAAAAGTAAAAATTAGAAAGAAAAAAAAATAATAATAATAATAATAATAAAATCTCGAAATAAAAAAATAAAAATGTATACAATGCGTAAATTAAAAAGTTTGAATTTTTTTTTACAAATCAGTACATATACGTATACATATTCAATACAAAGCGAAGTATATATTCAAAAATATTTATATATTAAAAAGATTCCAAACGTTATGTAGATTTAAATTCATTTGTTAGTATTTATTAAAAAAAGTTAAAAAAAAACAGTCAAAGAGAAAATCAAACAAGAAAGATATATATGTATATATATATATAAAAAAAAAAAAAAAAAAAAAAAAAAAAAAAAAAAAAAAAAAGCTTTTTATCAAATTTATCAAAAAAATATTATTTTTAAAAAAATGAAAGAATGTATGTAATGTTTGAGTTTAGTAAGTGTTTTTTTATAGTTCTTTTGAATATATCAATAGATTTTATTTTTTTCATATTGTCGTCAAGAACTGACTTCCACAAGCGTGGCCCCCGACATGTAATTGAGAAGTCAGATTTTTTGAGTGATGTTGGTGGGATGTAGTAATTATTTATTGAGTGTCTTGTTTCATATTTATGGTTAATTAGAGAGAAACCTTTATAAAAATATTTTGGAATTAGTTCATTTTGAAGTTTAAACATAAATAACAAGTTATGGTATATATTTAGTTCATATACGTTTAGCGCATTAATTTCCTTGAGTAACGGCTTGGCACTTTCGTACCTATCTGCGCCCAAAACTAATCGACTTGCTTGCTTTTGTTTAGTATAAATATTTTTTAGGAAAGATGAATGATTGTTTGCCCAGGCAATATTACAATAGTTAATATGACTATGTATGAATGAAAAGTATAAGTTTTTTAAACATATTTTATTCAAAAGATGTTTTGTCCTGTACATAATCCCCACAGTCTTTGAAACTTTGTTCTCGACTAACTTTATTTGGCTTTTCCAATTTAAATGTTCATCGAAATTTATTCCTAGTATTTTCATTGAAAAAACTCTTTTTATTTTAATATTGTTAATTGTTAGTTCTGGAAGTTTAAGTGGAAGGTTCTCGGATTGAGATGGTTTAGCAAACAAAATATATTTAGTTTTTTCAATATTTAATGATAGTTTATTTGCTATAAACCACTCATTAAGATATATTAGTTCAGCGTTTACATAATAAAAAATATTTTTTAAATTTGAGTCAGAAAAGAAAACATTAGTGTCATCAGCAAAAATAGTATAATTAAGTATTTTTGAAGACAAAAAAATATCATTGATATAAACTAAAAACAATAAAGGTCCAAGTATTGATCCTTGTGGAACTCCGCAACTTATTGATTCAAATGGGGAGCATGTTAGATCATATGGTACACCTTGTTTACGGTTTTCTAAATAACATTGAAGCCACTTTAAATTAGAGTGAACTACTCCGTAACTACGTAGTTTGTAGATAAGAATCATCTTGTGGTTTACAGTATCAAATGCCTTTGATAGATCTAGAAAAATTCCAAGTGTGTAACAATTGTTTTCAAAACCTTGTAAAATTTGGTTCGCAAGATCAATTACGGCATGTTCCGTAGAATGGTTTTTTCGAAAACCAAACTGTTTATGATAAAGAATATTATTTTTTTCAAGATAATTGTACAGCCTGTTGAACATAATACGCTCTAATATTTTGGAAAAACAGGAAAGTATGGAAATCGGTCTATAGTTAGATATTATTGAGTCATCGCCGCTTTTGTATATTGGAATTATTTTTGCTAATTTAAGTTGGTCGGGAAAAATGCCGTTTTTTAGGGATAGATTAAAAATTATGAAAAGGGGTTTCTCTATGATATCAGAGACAGCTTTTACAACATCAGGTTTAATTTCATCCAGACCCGCACTTTTATTTGATTTAAGCATACTAATCGCTTGCCGAAGTTCTTCAATCAAAAGCTCTGACTCATCCATGAAGAAATCAGATTTTTTCAAAAAGGATTTAAATGATTTTTTTCCCTCCGGAATTGCATCGGCTAGTTTTTTTCCTATATTTATAAAAAAGTTGTTAAATGTTTCTGCAATTTCTTTATTTACAGAAGCATCACCTAAATTGTCATCTCTTTGTAATCTTTTTGGGAAATTGTCTTTTTTTACATTACCCACGCCTGTTATTTCTTTAATTACATTCCAAGTTTTTCTTGCATTGCCAAATGTTTTATTAAGTAATGAAGAGTAGTAATTTTTTTTTGATTGCTTTTTTAATTTTTCAAAATAATTTTTATATTTTTTGTATTTTATTTCGTTTTTGTAGTTCTTTTTTTTAAGAAATTTTTGGTAAAGTTTTTGTTTCTTTTTTGACGACTTAATGAGTCCTTTCGTCATCCACGGACTAAGCAAACTTTTAGGTTTAATAATTTTTTTAAATTTTGGAAAGGCCTTTTCGTATTGCTTAGTGAACACGTGAATAAAAAATTCATAGCCGTTATTTACGTCATTGCAATCAGTCAATAGTTCCCAGTTTACTTCTTGTAAGAGGTCTCGAAACGTGGCGAGTGATTCATTATTTATTTTTCTTTCATATACAGTTTTTGTTTTTGTATGTTTCTCAGGGTTTGCAGAATATGTACTCAGAAAAACTGGAAAATGGTCAGTTATATCTGTTTTAATAATACCACTTTGCCATTCCACGCTTGTGTAATTGTTAGTAATAATATTATCGATAATGGATGCAGTTGTTTTAGTCACGCGTGTTGGCTTGTTAATCATAGGGAAAAGGTTGTACTGCAAAAGTGTATTTGTAAAACGCACGACGTGGTTATCTGTTTTATAATTCAAAAAATTCAAATTAAAATCACCTATAAATACACATGTTTTTTTATGAGCTTTGGTAGCAAGTAGTTTAAGTGGTTTTCAAATTGATTGTAATTACCATTAGGTGGTCTATATAATGCTGTTATAAATGCATTTTTATTTGTTTTATTAATTATTTCAATTGTAAATGACTCACAATCAACGTCATTTACTTTGAGGTTTTCTATGTACTTAAAAGTCAATGAGTTTTGGACGAAAATTGATACGCCCCCACCAATGCCGTTTACTCTAGGTTGATGAATGGATTTATATCCTGATAATTGAAAGTTAGAATTAATCGTGTCTCGATGACACCAAGTTTCAGTCAGACAGATAATACTAAACTTGTTACTTATATTATTTAACATAAATTTTAAATTATCAAAGTTTTTATTTATGCTTCTGATGTTTAAATGTAATAATGAAAAATGGGATGATGAAGAATTAAGAACATGATTAACATCGTCAACATTGTAATAAGCCGTTTCTACTAAAATTTCGTCAAAAATGTTAATATTTTTATCATCGTCATTACTTCGGTTTAGTGTGTTTTTCCTTCCTGATATGTCAAAAACATTATTATTGCTGGCTTCCGCCATTTTAGCAATAATAAATAAAAATACTATTTAAATTACAAAAAATATATACAAAAAATAAATAAACTTTAAGCATTTTTATGAGATTTTTTAAAATCTTTAACTACTAATTTATCATAAATAACGACAGAATATTTACCGTTATTCCTGTGAGCTCGCATTTCTTCAAAGAGTTTTTTACGTATGGTTAGGGTATCCAAAGAGTAGTCTTCATTTATAAATATTCCTGTTCCTTTTAACTTTTTTGAATTCTTTAATATGTTAATTTTATCTTTATAGTTCAGGAGTTTTATCACGACTGATCTAGGTTTACTCTGCCCGATTTTTCCGGTTCTATGCGCCCTTTCGATAGCTACGCCACTTACATTTAGTTGTTTTTCAAAGATACTTAAAACTTTTTCTTCAGATTCATTCCAACTTTCAGATTCGCTTTCAGTTATTCCTTCAAGCCGCAGATTGTTTCTTCTTAGTCGATCTTCCAGTTGACGCAGCTTATTTTTTTCTTCTGCATTAAATGCTACTTTTGAGACAATTTTTTCTTCAATTTTATTGATTTTTTCCTCTTGGGTATCTTGCGTAAAAGTTATGCTGTTTTCAATATCTTTTTGAGTGTGTTCAATTTTTGAGACTCTGTCATTTGTTTTTACCATTTCAAATTTTCTGAGATTATTTTCATTTTGTAAAGTTTTGCACGTTTCTTTGATTTCTGTTAATTCTTTCAACAGCCCATCAATTCTTTCATTTGTAATTTTTAAATTACCACTAATAAGTTTGAGAATGTCCTTTTGCTGTTTCTTAAACATCTCAGAGAATATTTCACGAACTAATTTCACAGATATTTCAGAAGCTTCTGTATTTGTTTGAATTTCTTTTTTATCATTTTTATTTTTATCCATTTTATTATCAAGTTAAATACCAATATTTGTTTTTATTTAATAATGAATAAACATATAAATTTATGTATATATGTTTTAAACAATTTGTAACAGTCTATTTTTTAAAAAGTTCAAAACAGCCACGCTGCAAAAACACGTCCGTTCACTTCCGTGTCTTGAAACGATAATAACATACAAATGCGTAGATGCGCACATACATAAACTGCTTACAATGAAACATAAGCTAGGATCTGAAAGAAGATCACAAGATCTTGTCATCAGAACCTTATAAAGCACAAACAAGCAAAATAAATACCAGTATAAGATACTAAAAAATAAAGTAAAAATTAAAATAAAGAAAGTACTGAATTCAAGTTGTATAACAATTTTCAAAATATTAGAAGTATCTGAGTATATTATCAAGTGAAATAATACATTTTTTTAGATTGAGCTTGAAAAGGTAAAAGGAAGTTTTCTTTCAAAATTCTGCAAAACTATATTATTCCATAGGTGGGGTCCACGATAAGCAATGCAAAATTGATTAAATTTTGTGTGACAAAATGGTTCTTTTAAAAAGTTTATGTTTCTCATGTCGTATTTGTTGTTAGGTTTAAGTTTGAAAGTATTATTAAAAACGGTAGGGGATTGATTATTTCTCCATAGATATACAAAACATAAAACTTTAAATACATTGAGTTCAAATAAATTTAACAATCTCATTTCAGTAAAAAGAGGTTTTGTGTGTGTAAAACGATCGGCATAGTTAATTATGCGGATCGCATGCTTTTGACGACGATAAAGAAGTTTTAACTTACTTTTTACTGTACTCCCCCAAGCAGTGTTGGCATAATTTATGTAACTGTGGATAAAAGAGTAATAAAGTTGTTTTAAGCAATTTTTATTTAGGTAGTTACGAGCTTTATATAGAATCCCAATGTTTTTTGAAATTTTAGTAGATATATAATTAATATGTTGATTCCAGGAGATGTTTTCATCGAGATAAACACCTAAGAATTTTGTAACGGAATCATTTTTTATTTCAATTTCGTCAATAAAAAGTTGCGGCAAATTTATTGGTAAAAATCGCTTTTTTGCATGCGAATGGAATAGAGTCCATTTGGTTTTATTAATATTTAAAGTTAGCTTATTACATTTAAACCAGTTTGATATATGTTTTAATTCTTTATTCATAGTAGTAAAGAGTTCGAATATTTCACTGTTTGAAAGGAATAGATTGGTATCATCTGCGTACATAATGCTTATAAGGTTAGAAGCTTTATTCAGATCATTTATATATATTAAGAAAAGTAGGGGCCCGAGGATTGAACCCTGAGGAACACCGCAGACGATATCAAGACAATTATTTTGATAGCCGTCGTTACTAATTACAAATTGTTTTCTTTTTGTTAAATAGCTTCTAAACCATTTTAAGGCAATACCATTAATTCCATAATATTCAAGTTTTTGAAGCAGAATGTGATCATCTACCGTGTCGAAAGCTTTTGATAGGTCAATGAAGATACCTAACAAGTACTGTGATTTTTCAAAAGATTTTGAGATTTCATGCACAAACTGGATTATTGCATGCTCTGTTGAGTTATCTTTTTTAAAACCAAATTGTTTGTTGTACAGTAAGTTATTTTTGTTGAGATGTTTGTATATTCTATTAGACATTATTCTTTCTAAAATTTTTGAAAATACCGAAAGAACGTATACATATTCAATACAATACGTATATATACGTATATATACGTATATATACGTATATATACGTATATATACGTATATATACGTATATATACGTATACATATTCAATACAATACGTAATATATGTATATATAATATTTGTATATATAATATTTGTATATATTTAAATATTTAAAAGAGATTTAAAATTTAAGAAGATTCAAAACATTTTCAAAATTTAAATTCATTTATTTTAAATTTTTTATACAAAATTAGAACAGGCTGACAAAAACAACTAGAAAGATATATCAGAAAATAAAAGTCTTGTTTGAAAAAAATAAAAGAGTTTTATTTAAATTTAGTTAGTGCTTTATATAGATCTTTTAATATCTAGAGTGTCTATTCGCACGATTTTGACGTGCGAATAGACTATATTTAATTATAGTCTATTCGCACGTTTAATTAAAAAAAAGTAAAGATAATCGAATTTAAAGGGAATTTTAAAAAGTTAGATTTATTATTATTAGTTTTTAACTTTATAATTAAACTAGCGCAGTGGAATACTAACGCAGTACTTATGTTGGCTGACTTTGAAGATATGCGCACTGTAGTGTATATTGACATATTTACTGCTTATCTAGGGATAGTCGAAGTGTAGTATAAATACAATGACGAAGGTTTTGAATTGGGCAGGCAATATTTTAATTAAAAAAAAAGAAGTATTTCTTAATGTTTATTTTATCTATTGGCACGTTTTTGTTTGTTTTTTGAATATTTGAAATTTATTTATGTTTAAGTAATTTTATTTATTTTTATTATAATTGATTAAAAAAATTAAGGGTGGAATGCAAGAAGCGAACTTGAGTCAAGTTCGACTTAAACTTTACATTGCAACCAATAGCGACAGATTATGGGTTTTCCCCTCAAAAAATACTCTGCCGCTATTGGTTACAAAGTAAAGTTCGAGTCGTCTTGCATTCCACCCTAAATTGCTTTCAAAATATTTGACTTAAGTTATAAACATATTTTGTTTGTGAGAGATTTCATATTAAAAATCTAACTTAATTTTTTTTTTAAACGTGTAAATAGACTATAATAAGATATAGTCTATTCACACGTGCGTGTGAATAGACTCGTCCTTTAAATATATCAATAGATTTTATTTTTTTCATATTTTCATCAAGAACAGAGTCTCACAAGCGTGTTTCCCAACTGATAATTGAAAAGTCAGATTTTTTTAGTAACGTTAATAGAGTTTAGTAATTACTTATTGATTGTCTTGTTTCATATTTATGATTAATTAGAGAATATTTTTAATATTGCCCAGGCAATATTATAATAGTTAATATGTCAATGTATAAATAAATAGTATAACTTTTTTGAACATATTTTATTTAAAAGATGTTTTGTCTTGTACATAATCCCCAGAGTCTTTGAAACTTTATTCTCGAATTAAAATTTTATTTTTATTAATATCGTTGATTGTTAGTTCTGGTAGTTTAAGGGGAAGATTTTCAGATTTAGATGGTTAAACAAACAAAATATAGTTAATTTTATCAGTATTCAATGAAAGTTTATTTAATATAAACCACTCATTATATTAATTACATTATATCAAAATATTGATTAGTTCGAGGTTGTCACGTGATTGTAATGTTATCACCCAACTTGAAATGGTAAAAGCGAATCGCTCTGAAAACGTAAATACTAGAAAATCCTTTAAAAAAATTGTTTATATATATTTTTTTTTTCATTGGAGTTTTATTAACAATGTAGACATTTTTTACGCTGTTTTTTACTTCTAAGTACCTAATTGAGCTTTAGTAAATAATTAATTATTGTTTATTAATAAATAACTATTTCAGTAACGTTTTAGTAAAATGTTTTGAGCATTGTTGAATGGATAATCTGTGATATCATTGTATGTTTATAACATATGTACGTTTATAAGCATGTCGAAATTTGGCAATAATAAAAAATAAACGACATAAATTCCATTTAAAAGTTATCTATACTTTATTATAAACAGTTTGGAGGTTAATTTACGCAAAAAAGTTATATAGAATTCAAAAAAAAAAACTCAAAAAAGAAAAAAAAAGTCAAAAAAGGTAAAGAAGTGATTAAGGTAATTGTTTACATTATGATGTTGTTTAAACTATTTTAAACACAAGAGGTTTTTAGCATTTTACTTATCAATTAATAACAACTTGTTGGTTCACTTATATAACCACTTCTTCTTTTTTATAACCACTTCTTCACGTGATACAATCTTTCTTAACTCTTTTATAACCACTTTTTCACTGATTAAATCTTTCTATTTTTCGTACAGCTAATCTTATCACTTTTGTGCTGCATAATATGTTCTTGTATTTAAGAAAAATAGGAAAGTATGGAAATTGGTAGATTTTATTGAGTCATCGCTGCTTTTGTATATTTGGAATTATTTTTGCTAATTTCAATTGGTAAGGAAAAATGCCGTCTTTTAGAGAAAGATTAAAAATTATAAAAAGAGGTTTCTCAATTATATCTGAGACTGCTTTTACAACATCTGTGTTCATCCAGCCCTGCACACTTATTTTGAGTATACTAATTGCTAGCCGAAACTCGTCAGCTTAAAGCTCCAATTCATCCATGAAAGAATCTGATTTTTTCAAGAAAGATTTAAATGATTTTTTTTTTGATCAGCAATTTCACCGGCCAGTTCTTTCCCTATATTTGAATCGGCATATGCTAAAAGGGCCTTAGTCCAAATCAGCTGGTTTTAAGATAAAAACAAAAAAAATTGTTTAACCCAAATATGACTCTACATTTTTTTTTTGTGAAAAATGTTAAAATTTAGTATTAAAATAGTTTGATTTGTAACTAAGGAGCCAGGTTTTACTGAATGTGTTTGCCACAATTGAGTCTATGAAAATACATTATAGGCCTTAATATAATATCCCTATAGTAAGTAAATTTATCCAGTATTGGCCTTTTTTAGGACTAATCATTTGCTGAATTAGCTGGCCTAACTAGCCTAATATTATGTACTGTAATCTTATCTGCATGCAGTCCTTGTTGTCTTTTTAGGAACAATGTTTCCTCTTGCATCAAAAAACTCATCACATCTTACTCTTGTTTTTTTCAAGACATTCCTTTTCCATAAATCTTTGTTTCCTTTTCGTTTTTTACCGACGTTGTCCTCATTATCCTCTATCACTTATAAAACAATCATCAATATTAAAGTAAAGTTGCAAAATGC